CCTTCCATCACGGCTCCGTCCATGGCCACCGGCGGTTCTTTCCGCGCTTCCTGGCCCTGAGGGCGGAAGGCGGGGCCGGGGGGAGGGACCGGACCCTTCGAAGGCGCTTCGCCCCTCCCCCGGGCCCCGCGGGCCGCCACCGCGGTGGGGTGGGGTGGGGTGGGGTAAGGGAGAGGAGCACGAAGGGAGGGTCGGAGGGCCCCAGAGAGGCGGGCCGCGCACTGCCTCCAGCGCCCTGCCCCCAGTACTGGGGGCGCACGAGTGGCCCCGCCGAGAGAAAGTTCCCGGGGTCAGCCCGAGGGCTCCGGCGACCGGCGTGGTGGCTGCGTGTGACGCCACATGCCCGACTTGACATCAGAGTCAAAGCCGTGACATCACCCCGGCAGTACCCGCAGGCGCCCGGGGGCACCGGGAAGCCCGGGGGGACCTCGGGGCTTCAGCTCCCGCGGCCTGACCCGCCCGATCCCGCCCCGGTTGGGCTGTTTTCGCCCCTCCCGGCCGGGACTCGGAGGAAGGGCTGGGGTCTGGAAGGCTTCCCGCCGCCACTGGGGGCGCCGCCCGGGCCGCCCTGCCGCCCAGCGGCCGCTCGCAAGGCAGCTTCCGACCGCCGCTGCCAGCCTCCAAGCCGCGCGCAAAGAAAGCTTCATTGAGGGAGGGCCGAGGGAGGGGGGCGGCGCGGCGGCGTCCAGCTCCACGGGGGAGGGGAGGACCGAGAGGAGAAGAGGAGGGGACTGGCCGCGAAGGAATGGAGGGAGAAGGCGGAATGTGGGAGGGCTCAAGGGGACTTGGGAGGGGCGAACGGAGAGGGGGGAGTGGGGGCGTCCAGGCTCCCCTGGCCGAGCACTTTTTTATTGGAAGTCCTAGGACAGATCTCCAGGGCCAGGACTCTTTGCTCAACCCTTAGGGTTCTGCTCAGCCAAAGGTAGGGGAAATCACGCTGCCCCGGAGGAAGGGGCGTTGGGGATGGAGAGGATGGTGGAGGGACCAGGGAAAGCGGGTGGTGTGGGGCAGAGTGGGAAGAAGCCAGCCAACCGAGTAGTTTGATTCTTGTCAAAGCGGAGTGAGATGTGAGAAGAGTTGTGGGGGAGCCGCAAGGGGTGCAGTGTATTTCAAACACGGTGGCCAGGAGAGCCCTAAGGCCGGGCTTACCTTGTGAGGTCCTACCCCTGGGCACCCAAGCCAAAATGTCCCCAGAACAAAGCTGTCTCGCTGGGTCGTTTGTCTGTGTTGGGGGAAGCATGTTCGGGGGCCCTCGCTGTGGATGGGGCTGTTCTCAGCCCCAGACGGAGAAGGCCTCGGCTGAGGAGCCATAGCGCCCTGGGCTCCGGTTGCCTGGTGACAGCGATGGTGGTGTGGGCAGGAGGCTTGGACAACCCCACCCCACCCCCCGCCCAGTTTTCAGCCTGGCCCTCCTGGGCCCCTTGACCCCTGCAGGGCATCGAGAGCCTGTGTGCCAGGGAGGGTGCACGGCAAGTTCTCCTAGCATTCTTTGGTGTCTGCCTTCCCTGCGTGGGAAATCTGTCCAGAGAGCACTCTGGTTTCCACTCCCGTCCAGGGGTACCGAGGGCCCACTTGCCAGCCTCACTCCACAATCAGTATAGTTGTTTGTCCTCTGGCTAAATGGGGACATCTGGCTCCCTCCTGCGTCTTGCTCCTCAGATCTTGTCAGGCCCTCTCCTCCTCACCTGTTGGCCTTTCCCTCACTTCCAATACTGTGTACTTGGTTATTTCCCTATCCCCTCCTGTCATCTCAACGTGGTCTCTCTCTCTCTCTCTGTTGTTTCTTTGTTTTCTCCCTTTCGTTCCCACAACCTCCCTTCCTCTCATATCCTGTCTGTCTGAGTACTCCTCTCTGGGTGGCTTTTGCTCAGTCTCTATCTCTTTTCCTTGACCATTCTCTGACCCTTGGTCTCTAATCACTGCTTTTATCCCTGGGTCCCTCAGACTGGTGAGTGGGGGTAATGGAGATGATCGAGGCAGAAATAGAGAAGAGCATTGTGGGATATAACAACTAATTGTGAGGGCTTTATTATTTTCATGAAACGGAGGAAGAACATAGCTATCTCCCACACCCCACCCCACCAATCTGGGTCCCTCAGGTTGTGACTCTTTGACTCTGTATCTCTGTGTTTCTGCCTTTATTTTAGTGTGTGTTTCTCTCACTGTCTCTCTTGGTCACTGATACTCTGTTTCTCGCCTACTGTCTCTTTCAGTCTCTGGAATTACTCAATGTCTGTTTCCCTTTCATGACCTCTCTCTCTCTCTCTCTCTCTCTCTCTCTCTCTCTCTCTGACTCTGGGTCTCACTCAATCTCACACAAACTTTCTCTCTGGGGCACCCAGGCCTTCCCTGCCATGCAACCTGACAGTGTCTGGCAGTGGAGCCCGCGGGGGCTGCTGCTGTGTCTGCTGTGCAACTTGTGTTTGGGGTCTCCGTCCCCTTCCACGGGCCCAGAGAAGAGGGCTGGAAGTCAGGGGCTGCGATTCCGGCTGGCTGGCTTCCCCAGGAAGCCCTACGAGGGCCGCGTGGAGATACAGCGAGCTGGTGAATGGGGTACCATCTGTGATGATGACTTCACGCTGCAGGCTGCCCATGTCCTCTGCCGGGAGCTGGGCTTCACAGAGGCCACAGGCTGGACCCACAGTGCCAAGTATGGCCCTGGAACAGGTGAGCAATGATCCAGGAATCGCCTAGGTATGACCTAAGTGCAGCCCAAGTGCAGGGAGAGAGAACATCGGGATGGGACAGCCACAGAGACACAGCACACCAAGAACAGCCCAAGTCAAGTAAACCTATGAATGACAAACCAAGCAACGCAGTTATTTGCAAGAGCTTGTCAGTGGTTTCTCTGAGCCTCAGATGTGCTGTGCACAAAATGACTAGATGATCTCTAAGTTTCTTTCTCCTGCAAAAGTATGAATCTACAAAGCCATGAGCAAAGCCAGCCCAGATACAGGTAAGTCCTGTATCTGATTTCAGCGGAAGCTGAGAAGAGGTCAATGATGTCTGGATGTCCCAAAGCCAGAAGGGACCACAGATGCTGCAGCTGACAAAAACAGATTGCAGGCCAGAGCTAAAACTAAAAAGCTGGAGCTAAGGACAAGTGTGAGTGTGGGTTGTCAGGGTTTAAGAGCAGTTTCCCCTGAGGCCTGGGGTGCTTGTACAGCATGAACTCACAATGGGATTGATGGGCAGAAACCCATGCCGCCTGCAGCCAATTCCCAGGTCCCACTGGCTGTACTCCCTCTGGAACAAAGTGTCATTTGTGAATGCTGCCTTTTAAGAGGGGCAGTAGAAGATGGGAAAACTTTCAGTTGAGAGCTGCCCCGATGTGAAAGATTCAGAAGCTGAGTTTCAAGGAGGAATAGCTGAAGAACCAGGGGTTTGGTAGGGAAATAAAAAGCCTGGGATAGCAATTACTTAATGGCTGTCTTCAAATGTGGGAAGGACTGTTGTGTGCCTGAGGGACTTTTCTCAAGGACCTGAATCAAAGTACTGAATGAGATGTAGTAGGAGAATATCACAAAGTGCTGGGTGTGGCGGCTCACATCTATAATCCCAGTGCTTTGGGAAGCCGAGTCAGGAGGCTTGCTTGAGTCCAGGAGTTTGAGATTAGCCTAGGCAACAACAGAGAGACCTCGTCTCTACAAAAAATCAAAAAATTAGCCGGGCACGGAAAAGAGTTGCAAGAACTTTCTGATGGTTATGCAGTCTGGTTGGGGCAGGAGATAGGTGCCCCAACAAGAAGCTGGGTAAGTCCTGTCGGGATATGAATGAGGGGTCCCCGTGCATTGGCTGGGAGCAGACAACCTTTGAACTTCCACCCAGTTCTGAGAGGAAATCAGTGATACTCCATAGGGTCCAGATGAGAATAACAAGGGGCTGTGCAGCAGCATGGGCAGGCCGGGCACGTGGGAGACTGCAAGGGTGAGATGAAGGGGTCTTAGATTTCCGAGTCTCACGGAGAGGTACAGTGTTTAAGCCCCCACGTATTGGCTGTGTGGTCTTAGGCAGGTGACTTCTCTGAACCCCGTTTCTTCATATTAAATGGTCTTCTGGCTGCTTGCCCTAAGAATGATCTGCACGTATGTCCACACCATGACAGAGCGCCTGGCACATAATAGGTACTTGATTAATTGCAGCTATCATTGAATGGGCAAGGGCTGTTTAGAACCCTAGTGTTGATTCTTGTTTCTTTATTCACCCTATCAAACTCTTGAGTATCCCCAGATCACTACCAACCTTCCATCAATCTCACACCCCCTTTCCTGTTGTCTTCCAGGGTCCCCTGTCCCTCCCCCACCCTTTATAACAGAAGAAAAATGGGATCCTCATGGCCAAGAATTTGGCCCCTGTTCTCATTTTCCCCACATTCCCTTCACCTCCTTATCCTACCTCTGCAAGCTCCTCTGTCCCCTCATCTCCCCTTGCACAGGCCGCATCTGGCTAGACAACCTGAGCTGCAGTGGGACTGAGCAGAGTGTAACCGAATGTGCCTCCCGGGGCTGGGGGAACAGTGACTGTACCCACGATGAGGACGCTGGGGTCATCTGCAAGGACCAGCGCCTTCCTGGCTTCTCAGACTCCAACGTCATCGAGGTCTGCAGTTCACAGACATATGCATACACATGCACACACCACCCAGGGTGGTCAGACAGAAAGGATTGTGGGGTGGTTAGCAAAGATGGCAGGAGGGAGGGAATTCCGTGTTGGCCCCGTGGGGGTAATCTGGATTGATGGGAGGAGGCTTGGAAGAGCAAATGAGAGCGCTCCTAGGTGCCATAAAACCCATCTGGGTTGTTAGCATGAGCATTCAAGAGATTAGACCTGGCACGAGCCTCTCAACGCCATCCTTGGTCACCCCAGGGCCTCCTGTGTTCTCCCTCTCCGCGAATGGTCCCGCTGTCCTGGAACATCTCCATTCTTCCTTTCTCCTCTGTGCAGTGCCCCCTCCTGCTCCAGGAAGAGCAAGATGCTCTTTCCTCAGCTCCCTCAGCACCCTTAGTCACCTGTCAGAGCACAGCACATCCCTCCACTCTGACTGCAGGAGAGTCCACATCCCCCGACTGAGTGCAGGCATGGCATCCTTCTCCGCCCTGTGTCAGTCCCATCCGCCATTGGGTTTACAGAAGGCATACTCAGTCGGGATTCCTCAAGGTGGCAGGGCATGCAAAAGGTGCTACTGGGCTTCTTCCCCCGTTCATGGTCCCATCTGCAGGTAGAGCATCATCTGCAAGTAGAGGAGGTGCGGATTCGGCCGGCTGTCGGGTGGGGCAGGCGGCCCCTGCCAGTAACAGAGGGACTGGTTGAAGTCAGGCTTCCTGAGGGCTGGTTGCAAGTGTGTGACAAAGACTGGAGTGCCCACAACAGCCACGTGGTCTGCGGAATGCTGGGTTTCCCTAGCGAAAAGAGGGTCAATGCAGCCTTCTACAGGTGAGAGGCCATGGGCACTGGGTGGAGCAGACGGGGTTCGGGGACCTTATTGAGGAATGGTGTTGAGAGGCCTTTGAAAGGGCCTGGAACCCTCCAGTAACTCAGGGACTTGAAGAGAGGGAAAGTGTGGAGACTGTTGGGAAGCTGGACAGTTGGGGAATCTTGTGGGACCAAGAAGGGTTCCCCAAGTGGGGATCTGTATTGTTTTTTGCTTGGGTTTTGGTATTTTGTATGTGGCAGCGGAGGTGTCTCGCTAATTTGCCCAGGCTGGTCTCTACCTCCTGGCCTCCAGCGATCCTCCGGCCTCGGCCTCCCAAATTACTGGGATTACTGATCTGAAATGGGGACCAGGTACTCCCGCTTTCCGGTGTCCGAGCCGGGTGGAGGGAGTGGCGGTGGGGGCGCGTCGATGCCGCGACGCCGTGGGGCGCGGCGGACCGATCCTCGGGTCCCTGGGCTGCACCGTGCCCCTCGAGGCCACACCCACGGCCGCGGGCGGTGACCGCGCCGGCGC